ATAGGTATTTATATCTTTCAATTTGTAGCTGTATCTTTAATGAAGAACTTCAACTTTGTCTGAAATAGATATTTATATCTTTAAATTTGTACCTGTATATTTAATGAAGAACTTCAACTTTGTCTGAAATAGGTATTTATATCTTTCAATTTGTAACTGTATATTTGATGAAGAACTTCAACTTTGTCTGAAATAGGTATTTATATCTTTAAATTTGTACCTGTATATTTGATGAAGAACTTCAACTTTGTCTGAAATAGATATTTATATCTTTAAATTTGTAACTGTATCTTTAATGAAGAACTTCAACTTTGTCTGAAATAGGTATTTATATCTTTCAATTTGTACCTGTATATTTAATGAAGAACTTCAACTTTGTCTGAAATAGGTATTTATATATTTCAATTTGTAACTGTATCTTTAATGAAGAACTTCAACTTTGTCTGAAATAGGTATTTATATCTTTCAATTTGTAACTGTATATTTAATGAAAATCTTCAACTTTGTTAAGAGAATAAACTTTCAGTCGTAAATGTTTCGGAACTTTATTTAACATTTTCTTCGGTGTTTCAAGTTTTACTGATATGCTGTATCAAATTATGTAAATATCAATATTTACCTGCACAATCATTTAAAAAATGGCCGAATTCTAGTAACTTAAAAATCTATGTTAAATATCGAAATTATTTCATTAATAATTACAGCCAGAGTTTTAAAACAACACTTACTTTACTATAGCACTTCCTCGACAAGTCCCTTTCAGGTTCTTGTACATTAATAAGTACAGCCAGAGTTTTAAAATAACACTTACTTTACTATAGCACTTCCTCGACAAGTTCCTTTCAGGTTCTTGTACATTAATAATTACAGCCAGAGTTTTAAAACAAAACTTACTTTACTATAGCACTTCCTCGACAAGTCCCTTTCAGGTTCTTGTACATTAATAATTACAGCCAGAGTTTTAAAACAACACTTACTTCACTATAGCACTTCCTCGACAAGTCCCTTTCAGGTTCTTGTAGATCTTTGAAACTTTGTCTTCACTAAATTCAAAAGTAAAAATATTCTCATATAAACAATTCCTATAAGTTTAAGATTTATAAAAATATATATAACCACAACCGTTGTTGGTTGGTTTTCGGAAGCTACACAAAGGGCTGTCTGCGCTAGCTGTCCATAATTTACAACTGACAGATTAAAGGGTATACAACAGATCAACAGCCCCCCCCCCGCCCTCGCCAATTCTTTAGCTAAACTTGTATGACCGAATAGTGGGATTTGACCGTTACTATTATCACGCGCCCACCGCCCCAAAGCGCGGTGTTACTTTTGTGACAACAGGACATAAATCAGAACTTTCAACCCACATTCCGGACACGCTAAACACTAGGCCACACCTATCCCGATTACAAACAGAAAATGTTACTTCTTGTTATTTTATATAAAAAAAACACAAAATTCCTGACGTAATTCACATAATATTTACCCTAACGTTCTAGAAATTACAAGTTTATGTGAGAGAAATGTTCATTTTTAATACACCTAGTGAGAGAAACAGAAAATACTCAGAAATAGATCCTCAGTGATGATATTTTACTAACACGCCAACGTTTTTGTCTTGTCTTGGCGTTGAAATTCGTACTGGAAGTTAACTTGATATGTGGGTTTACAATGAATTGTTTTATATTTATGGACACGTGCTGGCTTTACGTTCAATACACAAGGCGCAAAGTAGGCCCAGAAAAACAACCCTTGCTTTGATTTTGGCAGCCGTTGATAAATTTGAATTTGTGTAAATACGTTAACACTAGTTTAATTAAATATAACATTTTCGATTAATAAAGTAGTCAGAAACAATTCTTTTTTTTTTTTTTAAACAATGAATGAAGAGGAAGAACTCTGAAAGGTCAAACTTCTTAAAACGCAAACATTTATTCTGGAAGGATAAAGTTGACTAATTCTAACCCTTAATATTATGCTTAAAAGTAGCTGTCTGATTTTCTATCCCTGTTTTACTAGTACAGCGAAACTTAATATAGTTCGAAAATGTCCCAAAAGATGGCACTCTGTGCACATTCACTTAGTTGTTCTTTTTTTCTTTTCTATTCGCATCTTAAGTGTGATCTTTCATTACATGTGAATTAATTAAAAATAAAATAAGTTTAAGTGAAAAATACGTCTCAAAGAAGGTTCAGTTCGTACGCTGGCCAAGGTTGGAATGTTTTAGAAGTAAACAACAAATAATCCTCAAGAGAAAACAATCGTTCAAAATCAGGTTAATCACAAATATACCACATGTAAAAAAGATAGTTTTCTCTAAATGTTGAACAATTTTGAACTAGGAGTTTAAATTTCTGACTCCACAAATTCTGCTACACCAGTTAAGACCTGAAACTCATTAGTTGCAAATCTGAGGGCTTATAACGATAAAATTCGGGTTTCGATTCTCCCGGTGGGTAGAGTACAAACAACCCATTGTGTAGTTTGTGCTTATGAACAAACAAATAAATAGTTAAAATTTGAATTAATCCATATTACCATCTTATAATATGATATCCAATTTTAGCCAGAGAGAGATTTATTCAAAACTTGGTAAAATTTAGCCATTGGTCATAGGAGTGATTTGAATAAATAATAAGTGGGTTATTGGATGGCAGAAGAGAGAGATCTTACCATACATGTAAAGACGGCCGAGTCTTCAGTACTCTTGTTGGTAAAACTGGTAGATCTTTTAGCCTTTCTCTGGTGGTTTGGTCACTGAATTATTAGAAGGAGAGTCACCCCGGAAACTGATTTTTTAAACACTGAGATATAACGTTACGTGCGAGAAAGTTTTTGATTTCGAACCCCGGATTTTAATGATGTAAGTCCATAAACCTACCGTTATTCCACTGCGAGACTGCGAAAAGGCCATTTTAGATCACAATTATACTATACAGATGATCACAATTATACTATACAGATGATCACAATTATACTATACAGATGATCACAATTATACTATACAGATGACGGTTGACCACATTTATACTACACAAATGACAGATGACTACAATTATACTATACAGATGACCACAATTATACTATACAGATGACGGTTGACTACAATTATACTACACAGATGACAGATGACTACAATTATACTATACAGATGACAGATGACTACAATTATACTATACAGATGACGGATGACCACAATTATAATATACAGATGACTACATTTATACTATACAGATGATGTGCACTTGCCTTTCTCGGAGTTTTCCTGTCGATATAATCGTACTGACCAATTCCTTTATAATTCAATCCAATCCACCACAGAAATCCCCCTTTATCCTAAACAGAGAATGAAACGGTTTAATTGGCAGAAATGTCAGGGCTTTCAATTATGAAATACATAATCTTTCTTTCAATTTTGTTTCTTCTTTCCTTTTTTCATTCAATTTGAAGAGAATGGTACTAAAAGTTATTAAAAGAACGATTTATATTATAAACAACGTTTTTAATTAGTACAATAAATAAATATATATAGTGCTAGTTTTCACTCACCTTCACTTCATAATAATGCACACCGTAGGCTGGAAAACTTTCTACAATTTTCATGTACCTGATAATACAAGAAAACCAATGTGTTTTGATTAATATGTCATTGTCCAGAATTGTAATAGACATGAACTGGATAAATGAGGTTTACTCCGCGATTCAAAAGTTGGGTAACAAACGTCATTGTCCAGAATTGTAATAGACATGAACTGGATAAACGAGGTTCACTCCGCGATTCAAAAGTTGGGTAACAAACATCATTATCCAGAATTGTAATAGACATGAACTGGATAAACAAGGTTCACTCCGCGATTCAAAAGTTGGGTAACAAACATCATTATCCAGAATTGTAATAGACATGAACTGGATAAACGAGGTTTACTCCGCGATTCAAAAGTTGGGTAACAAACGTCTTTGTCCAGAATTGTAATAAACATGAACTGGATAAACGAGGTTTACTCCGCGATTCAAAGGTTGGGTAACATCAACAAAAAAAGTTCACACTTCTCTCAGAGCGTTTAATAAATCCAATTATATTTTTCATGCCAGAAATATGCTTTTGAAAGTTTGAGAACAGGATACGAATGATTAAAAAACACTAAAAGAAAATCAAATGACAAGAGAAAACGCTGTTTCAAACTTCAGGTTCGTAAAATCAATAATTTCAAAAGATTTGCAGCTGTTTTTTTGTGTGACATATTTCATGATTTTTCACCCATTTAAACCTGAGAAACAGCATGTGTTTTAAATAATTGTACAGTTATTGTAAAAGTTGTATTACGAGCATTAGAAATCTAGCAATTATAAGGTTATTTCTTACGGGGCTTAGAATTCTAATAAGTATGAGACGATTTCACATGAGAGTTAGAATCCCAGTAAGTATAAGATTTCTTATGAGAGTTAAGATTCTAGTAATAAGCTGATTTATATTTATAACGTGATTTTTATGAGGGTTAGACGTCACGTCTCAAACTCAGGACTATTCTCTCTGGGGTGCTGATTTATTAGTTGTTTATTTTTTAATAATTTAATTAATTTTCATAATTAACCTGTCACGAATTAGATAATAATTTTACGATAATTGTGAATTAAAAAGATAATTTTGATTTTTTTAGAAATATACAATTATACTATACAGATGATCACAATTATACTATACAGATGATCACAGTTATACTATACAGATGACCACAGTTATACTATACAGATGACCACAGTTATACTATACAGATGACCACAATTATACTATACAGATGATCACAATTATACTATACAGATGACCACAATTATACTATACAGATGACTTGTAGCACTATAAAGCACAATGTTACAATATGTAGCACTATGAACCACCATATGACACTATGTTGCACCATGTGGTAGTATTTAGCACTATATGACACTATGCTACACCATGTGGTAGTATGTAGCATTACGCAGCACAATGTTACAATATGTAGCACTCCATATGACACTATGTTACACCATGTGGTAGTATGTAGCATTATGCAGCACAATGTTACAATGTGTAGCACTATAAAGCACAATGTTACAATATGTAGCACTATAAAGCACAATGTTACAATAGCGTTAGGATGTAACAGTTGGTGTTTTGTTTGGTTACATCAGTAAAATGATGTAGCAGCCTGTGCTATGTACTTGGTCACACCAGAGTCAAGATGTAACAGTCAGTGCTAAACTTGATTTGTTTGAATGCATCACTTTTTACCGTTTTAACTTTGTATTCATACTTCAAGGACTGGGTTTTGTGGAACAGGACAAGTTAAAGGTGTTTAAACTTTGTATTCATACTTCAAAAACTGGGTTTTGTGGAACAGGACAAGTCAAAGGTGTTGTCATGCATGTCATAAGAACCAAATTACTATTACCACAAATATCACTGCAAATATAAATAAAAAATATAGTTATTTAGGTCCATAGTTCAAACATCTAAGTTGTAAACATAACAATTTCGTGTATTTCAGAGCACAGGTTATTATGTAGCAGGATATAGCAACAGGTAGGTTTGTGTTGCAGCATGTAGTGCTATATAAAATTATGTAACAATATATAGCACTATGAAGTACCGTATGACACTATGTTGCACCATGTGGTAGTATGTAACACTATAAGACAATATGTTACATCATGTGGTAGTATGTAGCATTGTTTCCAGTTGTTTCCTAATTCTATTCCTTGTTTCCAGCAGTCTTATAATTATTTTCTTGTTTCCTAATTCTATTCCTTGTTTCCAGCAGCCTTATAATTATTTTCTTGTTTCCTAATTCTATTCCTTGTTTCCAGCAGTCTTATAATTGTTTTCTTGTTTCCAGAGGTTTCCTAATTCTATTCCTTGTTTCCATCAGCCTTATAATTATTTTCTTGTTTCCAGTTGTTTCCTAATTCTATTCCTTGTTTCCAGCAGCCTTATAATTATTTTCTTGTTTCCTAATTCTATTCCTTGTTTCCAGCAGTCTTATAATTATTTTCTTGTTTCCAGTTGTTTCCTAATTCTATTCCTTGTTTCCATCAGCCTTATAATTATTTTCTTGTTTCCAGTTGTTTCCTAATTCTATTCCTTGTTTCCAGCAGTCTTATAATTATTTTCTTGTTTCCAGTTGTTTCCTAATTCTATTCCTTGTTTCCAGCAGTCTTATAATTATTTTCTTGTT